TACACATATACATATATACATACATGTATATATATATATATATACATATATATATATATATACATATATATATATATATATGCATATACATATACATGTACACACACATAAATATATATATATATATATGTGTACATGTATATGTATATGCATATATAAATGTACATGCATATGTATATGTATATGTATGTGTATATGTATATGTATATGTATATGTGCATGTATATGTACTTGTACATGTATATGTATAATGTCGAATGTATAGTGTATAGTCTATAATGTATAAGTTAATGAAAAATATATGTATAGTTAGTATAGTTCTTCTTCTTGCTCTCATTGGCAGTCTTGCTGTTGTGCTGTTCTTGTAGTGGCACTTGTTTCTGTTGCCATCCTTTAGCAATCCAGCCACCAGACCGTCACGGAGTTACACCAGGTCCTCGTGCAGCCTCTAGACTTCTGTCGGCCGGCTCTAGCCTGCAAGGAGCTCTACATGGAGCAGCGTTTTGGCAAGGAGCTCTATATGGAACAGCGTTTTGGACGTCTCAGTCTTCGTGCAAGCCCCAGCCACGAGAACTTGACAACTCCGCTGGCCGGGTCACACCGGCCCTTCCGCACAAGCAGAGCCCCAGATGGAGTGGCTGGTGCTAAACAGGGGGAAGAACTCTTCTATCTGACCAGTGAAGCTGTTGCCCTGCCCGACGCCTCGCCAGCCGCTATGCAGCACAGGCCGGGATCCTGGATTGGGAGGGTGCTGCACACGACAGCTTTTCCAACACATCTCAGTCCGGCGAGCAGCTTCCGGCACACGCTTCATGTCTGTTCATCTTTGAAGTTGCTGCATGCTGTAGGATAAAGACTTGTGGCCTACGAGACATAGACATAGCTTCGAGCGTCGAGTGTTACACCCCTTCTGCAGTTGGTCAAACCCGTCAGAAATCAGACTTGACTAGGCCTGAGACTGCGCGCAGCTCCAAGAGCGCTACAGTGACGAGGCTATCTGTTTGCGTTGAAGTTTCACTTCCAGACATCTGAGGGACCTACTTGAAGGCTCAGCGGTAGCTTGGACAAATCCACTAACATCCCTGGCGAGGTCTTCGCCAGCCATGTCCCGACCGTGGCTTGGCCCGATGATGCTCTCACAGTCCTTATTTTCCCTCCGGCTCCTAGTTACTCCTTCCCTCCGCTGCCACCACGGCCACCACGCCACCACGACCACCCGCGGCCACCACCCCCGCCACCCCCACCAACCCCATCACCAACACCACCAACACCACTCCCACCACCATCCCTACCGCCGGCATGACATGACATGTCATCTGACGGTACGCAATCCTTTTGCAAGCCTGTTGTTGCAGGTTGCATCATACCACACTCAGCAAAGCTGTGGGATAAAAGCGGGAAGAGGGACCTGATCAGTCTGGTGTACCTGCAGAAAAGGATGTGCCCCGTATGGCATCCAAATTAGACGGTAAAAGTCCCTGTGGTACCAAGACTAGTGTTTTTACAGCGAGCGCGTAAGTTACAACCATGTGTGAAAAGAGAGTGAGAGACTGAAGTTGCGGCCACCACATGAGTTGTTCAAGTCTGCTCTAGTTTCGGACCTTAAAGAAGCCGTGCTGCCGCTCTGTGTTGCATGGTGTGCTTGGTTATGGTGCCTTGACCTGAACCTGAGTCTTTTTGGTTCTTTCATGGTTTCGCAGATGCTCAGGAGAACACCACAATCCTAGAGCCGCTTGTTCCTCTCTTCCGGGCAGTGGGGATTGAGATGAGATGGCTTGGTTTGGCGGATGCGCTTTTGCCAGGTCGTCCTCCCCGTCCCGACCGCGATCTGCGGGACCAGGACAACGCGAGATGTTGGTACTTATGATCGTTTGGCGTTCAGCTACCCGCAGGAATGAGGTTGCCCTGGCCTTACTCCATGCAACTTGCAAGGTTCTGGAGGGCAGGGTGGAGCTCATTCTCGTTCTCCATATAAGGCAGCCGCGACCGACTGGCGAGACGAGAAGCCCAGGCACACCATGGAGGTGTAAGGTACGTGAACGGCATTGTGATCTTGGGCGATACCGATTGCAGTAGTGTTTCTCGATCATGGTCTTCTTAGTGTTCACACTGACTGCGATCATGATAAGAACGATGGGACCCTATTTGTAAGTCAATTCCCTGGATATGTTGCAACACCCGATGCCGGTAGCTGTCAATGGGCACATGCCCAAGACAATCAACGCAAGCATGATAAGCTATATAGACTGCTGTTCAGCTCACTGGGTCTCAGCGTTGGCGCGGCTGGAGGCAGAGCTTCCGTGGATGCTTCTGGGGCCGCAAGACCTGTCTGGCTCTCAGCTTTAGGAGGCAGCCGGGAAGTTGGTGACAAGCGGATGTAATATAGGGGCCATACTAATTTGGAATAGGATTTGGGGTATCTTATACGATAACCTGCAGCGCGCAGCTCAGGCCACACGGACGATCTTTGGGTGCCGTCCCCAGGTGCACTGGGAAGGGAAGCTTGCCTTGAAGATTCTCGAGGCGGCACCTCGGCCAGCGCTGGCGTGTGCTGCCGCCCAAGCATGTGAGGCGCGATGTGTCGGAAGGTGCCACCGGCTTTCGACGGGCTTTTAGCACTGCTTCGAGACCACCGTGCGCACTTGAGCGTCTCATGGAGTGCTGCCTGAACCCCTAAACCCTGAACCCTAAACCTTAAACCCTAAACCCTAAATCTCCGGGCCGGAGGCCTCATCATGGCAACCTTCCTTCCGTCTTGGTCATGGCGAAGGGCCAGAGACAGGGGCACTGAGGAAGGAGCGTAGCCTCAGAATCTCTTCGGGATCTGCGAAAGTCTCAAAGACAGGAGAAGAAGAGAACGGAAGCTCTCAATACAGGGGTCTAGGGGTAATGTAGGGGCCTTATAATAATTAGAATAGGGTGCTGGGGTATATTCTGAAGAATCAGAGCCGCAGGCAGAGAAGCGACAAGACACTTCACAAGAGTGTCCCTGCAACTACGAAGCGACGAAGAGAGCATTACTTGCAGCCTTCTTGATCAAGTCTCAGACCGAGACCCTAAACCCCAAGCCCCCAAACCCCCCCAAACCCCTCAACCCCCTATGCAGACTCACTCCTTAGGCTCCTCCGTTTCCTCGGCTTCTTCAAGACAGTTCCCAGGTCTGGCATTTTTTTTCCTTGTGCCTGGGGCCCTGATGTTGGTAGGAGCCTGGGACGAGGGCAAAGCAGGCCTGAGCCGCTTTGAAGATCCCCAAAGATGGGATTTCGAATTCGGGGCCTGAGGATTTCAACTGTCGTTCTAAAAAGGTTCCGGGCTAGAGCGGCTAAGGGCCTCGTGCGAAGTACGACTCCTTTCGCAGACTCGCAGCTCGCAGCGGCAAAGCGGCAGCAAGTTTCGATGGCATCGCAAAGCTCGATGCAGCGTCTCGAAATGGGAAGATGGCAGAAAGTCCTGCAGCAGACAGGCTTGATGCAGAGACTTTAGATGACGTCAGTGTGCTTGCATTTCCTTTTGCCTCATTGCCACATGTGCTTACTGTTTACAACATATTGGGTGGCATGCAGTTGCCGGCCCATGAAGCGTCATCGTCCGTACATAGAGGCATACTCGTGATGTTGATCAGGGGCAGTGAGGTCTTCATCGAATAAAGCATACTCAAGCCGGTGCAAGCTGAGAAGTACGAGACGAAGTTAAAGCCTCTGCTCAAGAGTCTTTGATAGACGTTCTGGTTCACAGCTGGCTTAAGGGCTTCAGATGTGCTTTTCTAGAGCGGGACAGCGCTGCACGCCAGACTTCGCGAAGGGCTGCGTAATTCACAACAGTTGCAGCAGACAAGGACACACACACACACACAAACACACGGTATCTTTCGAGTTCAGACTTTGTTGTACAGTGCTTGGACATGATTGGGTCTGAGATGGCAACCTGCCCGTAACAAGGGCATCCGGCATCCGAGATCGTCCCAGAAATGGCGGACGTGGGGTGCTTAGGGCACTCCCATGCGATGAAGGTTGGACTCAGACGGCTTTGAGGGGGACAGGGCACGGCTTGGAAGCCCGAGGATCCTGAGGTGTGGAGGTTTTTCTTTCGAGCTTCGCGTCTCCTTCCGAGGCCTACGTGCAGGGCTCCTGGGGCAGAGGCCCCGAATATCCGCATCCTCCGGCAAGGAGCAACATCATGGCCGCTCCCTCAGTAGGGGCAACGAGGTGTGGGGCCCATGGCCAGGGCAGTTTAGGCTTTTTTCATTTTTGCCAGTTGCAGTACCTGAGTCGTGATTGGTGGTACCACAGAAAAACGACTCCCTGATAAAGCTCTGGAGCCGGAAGATGCCGCGATTTCCGAGGTGGAGCCCATGCAGACGGTGATCACGAAGAACTTGAACTGGGAAGCTCGTGGCTAAGCCAGATCTGTGCAAGCGGAGCAGAACCTCGCGGAGCCCAAACTTCTCGAAGCCCTGAGCCCCAAACTCCCGAAGCTAGAACCCGAACCGGCCGAAACACGCCTGAACCCCACAAGAAGACTCTACAAGGTTCGCTCCCGAGCCGGAGCCACCGAAGCCATCCACCGCTGGGCAGCCAGCGTGCCTTCGTCAGGGGCTTGGATCCAGAGTAGGGTAGACTCAGAGAGCCGGAGATGAAGTGTAAAGGTACGTGCCGACAATATACATACGTATGGTTGGATATGCAGGCATGTATGAATGCATCTATCGTCGTATGTATGTAGGTAGGTATGTATGTATGTATGTATGTATGTATGTAAGTATGTATGTATGTAGGTAGGTAGGTAGGTAGGTAGGTAGGTAGGTAGGTCGGTAGGTAGGTAGGTAGGTAGGTATGCATGCATGCATGCACACATGCTCGCACGCACGCACATGCATGCATGCATGCATTTATGTTTATATGTAGGCACTTTCGAAAACCCACATCTGTATAGACATATATAATATAGACGCATGCACGTACGTATCTCTGCATATACGTGTCACACACACACACGCAGCACATTTCTCGAATGAATGACTAAAGGGTTCGGTTTGCACAAACGTAACTCTCCTGAGAATGTGCGACACACACAAGTCAGTATGTAGACGTTTCATATGCTTAGTGTTGCGTGCAATACAACAATCACAGCAGCATACTTTATACAAAAATGTAGTATCTGGTACCGACTGTAATGCAAGATTTTGTCTGCCAAGGCGACGGGTACCTTTTGCTACTCTGGGCCATCGTGCCAGCGCCTTAGCTTCTCCGGATGCTAGGATGTTACGACCCCTCGTGCCGCTTGGTGTCTGGACTTCGGAAGCCAGCGCATTCCTGACCTGGTGGCTGCCAGGAAGTGGGAAGGTAAAAATCGACCGTAGAGTTCAAAAGTCCGTAGCTTTCTGCATGTCAAGCTTGGGCAGGTCACCGGGGAGTTTGCTCCTCCTGTTCCCAATGAGAGCAGGTCGCCGAGCCCTCGGCTTCCTCCCGGCGCCAGATCCGAGGAAGAGCCCTAAAACTCTGAGCCCTGAGCCCTGAAAGGCATCTCGTCCGTGCTGTCTCAGCTCCTCAGCTCGATTTCGGCCAGCTTCTGCGAGAGCTGGCAGCCCAGTCGCTTCCGGTGCTTTCTAGGCACCGTGCTGTCCTGTTTCTCGCACCCGTCCACCAGACCCAGACGGCAACGAGGCGCAGACAGAATCACACACTTCAGCGTTCGCGGCAGGCTCTTCACGCCGCTTTGCTATTATTCTTCTGCTCTCTCTCTCTCTCTGTCGCTCTCTCTCGCTCGTCTGGCCTCACGCAACTCTTGAAGAAATGCTGAGGCTTATAAGGCCAGTTCGACATTAAGATCTGAAGGATCTGCATAACCATGAGCTTATTACTTAATGGGCCACGCGCGTCTATTTTCGAAGCTTTTCACTGCGTGTGGCATGCAAAGCATGCTTGCACCTGCTTAGATCAGTAGATCCCGTAGCTCTGCGCGTGAGACGGTCTGAGCCTTTCGCATCTGTTGGCCTTACAGCTGAAGATGGCTGCCTGCAGTGAGCTAAGTCTAAGGGAGGTCGTGATGTGCTCAGACTTGAAGCATGTGCTCCGATAGCGGCCCAGCATCCGAAACAAGAGCATGGAACAGCCGAAGACCTTAGACGATTCTTGGTCTGCGGCGCAGTTGCCAGAGCTCAGGAGGCAGGGGTGCACGTCTGACGGGACGGCGGTGGCAGCATTGGTTCAACAGCCGTCTAGGGGCCTTGGGGGTTCCTTATTATAACTATAGTATAATAGGCCCCAAAAACCCTACAAGCAACAAAATGCACGGCACGGCTAAAGGCTCGGCTCAACGTTGCCTATACCCCGCGGGAGCCGCTGACCCGTTGAGCCCCCAGATCCTGCCAACACCCACATTCCCAAGTCATGCTACTGCGAAGCTGTCTTGGCATGGTGCCATAGGATTGAGACCACGACAAAGAGCTTTGCAGAAGCGTGCCGATGCCGGCAGCTGGATAGCTCCATGAGCATAGCAAGCTCTGTGTGCTTTGCTCCTTGGCCGCTTCTTCGGGGTGCAGTCTCTGACTCATGCCTTCAAGTGCTCGGAGAAAGCATCGGAGCCCTGAGGACATCTTGGATTTCCATGGCCTGGACTGGCCGTCGGCCCAGCAAGAGCGAACTCAACGGAGCTTTCTCCAGTGGTGGCAAGTGAAGGTGCTGTTGCGTTTTGCTGGGATGAGGTATGCTGTTTCCACGAGGATAGCATCCATCCTTGCGCAGAAGGGGTTCTGCTTTGTGCAGGGCCCTGTGGACCAGGCCATGTGTCGGTCCTGCCGTGCTTGCACTTGAACTCCCCTTGCCGCGGAAGGAAGACAAAAGCAAAGCACGCGAGGAGGCCATGCTCGTGCCTAGCTACCCACTGTGGTGTAGCTCAGCTTATCGATCGGCCTTTTCTCGGAACCGCTTTAAGAGCGGAGCGGCCCGCGCAGCATTTGGCTTGTAACTTCCCATGCATGGCTTCATAAACCCAGCCCCACCCTTCGAACTCCACATCGCCAGCTCAAGCGTGAAGCATGCAAAAGTCCAGTCCCGGTAGCTCGGCTGCTCTTGGATTACGGCCAGTCTCTCTGCATGGTGCCATTCCTCCAGCCAGGATCTTGGCAAAAGCGCTGGTGCCAATCTTTTTGATAGTGGTAACAGTGACAGTGATAATCATGAGAATCATCGTGAGGCTATTGCTGGTCATAAGGAGAATAACTGCATCATCAATTGCAACAGCATTAGCAACGACAGCGGCAACGACAACAACGATGTTAAATCGTAATGATAAGAACTGCACATTTTCTGTGTCATATAAGCTTAAGCACAGCATGTAACATAAAGTATTATCACAAAGTATAGTATCATGTAGTATGACATAATGTATTATTGTAGGGCCTGGCGGCACGGGCCGGCATGGCCGTCGCCGCTCCGATTCTCGCCCTTCCCCCCTGCCCATCAAACACCCCCTGCGCGCGCGCACCGCGCGCGCACGCGCCGTACGCGAGCATCAGCAGCATCATGGTCACCGGTCGTGTTTCCTTTCTCGTGCCTTGGGGCCATTGGAACCGCCTCAAAACGGCCCCAGAACCAAGTACGGCAGCAATATCGACACGATTGGTGCTTGATTTCTGCTACGCGGGGTCGTTCGTGCTGTACCGC